TAATAATAATAATAATAATAATAATAATAATAATAATAATAATAATAATAATAATAATAATAATAATAATAATAATAATAATAATAATAATAATAATAATAATAATAATAATAATAATAATAATAATAATAATAATAATAATAATAATAATAATAATAATAATAATAATAATAATAATAATAATAATAATAATAATAATAATAATAATAATAATAATAATAATAATAATAATAATAATAATAAAAATAGATCTATTGGCCCATCGGCTAAAACCAGGTGATGGAGCAGGAACGGTGGGCTTTTGTGTCCTTACCGGGCAGGCTGTAAATATCATATAAATTGGGGCCCACTTAGAGCCGTACATGTCAATTGTCCTTATCTGTTTCCTTTGATAAGCAACCCTTCTTACTTCTCACATTATTTGCTTGATTTATTTAAGTTATTCCATATTAATTAATTAAATTTTCTTTTAATTCCACCTAACAAGTTACTTGTACTTGTTTGTGTACGGCTATAATAATTTTTAATGTGGTACTTTTTTATGCCAAAATATGTGTCGTTTTCCGTTGTTGCGCACATATTAAAAAAATTAATAAATGTGCGTTGATTTTAGAGAAAAGTATATAGAATGACTAAAATATCCATGTTGTTAATATTGCTTCCATTAACTCCCAGTCAATTAATAAATGATAATAAGGGTAAAAATGAGAAAATAGTAATTAATGCAACATTAATATTCTAAAGTGCAGATAATTTGAAATAAGAAAATTCCCCAAAAGCGACAGTTAGTTTGGAATATATAAGCAAAGGAGCTATTTTAATTCTAGAAATTTAGTTATTATTTATCAATGTTAATTGGTAGACAAATTAAAATTTGTTATGATTCATATTAGAGAAATTGTATGTGTGTTTAAAAAATCACATTACCATGTTCTCTAAATATTATAAAAATATATAATAATAAATGAAATTTACAAGCCTCGGCCTTTCAATTTATTGACACGACTACAATATATGAACTAATTGATATAATTTATTAAATAAAAAAATTCTTTTTTTCATACACCACCTAATTGTTCACCTAATTATTAAGGTTGAGAAAATACGACCTCATTTTGACCTATGTCTGCTTATCTTTGCTTATCTGTTGATCTCGAAATCAATATACTTAATTAATTAATTAATATGCTAATTATAGTTAATGAGAGGGCGATAAGAAGTTAGCCTTATCATAAAATTAGAACCGGACCCACCACAGTCCTTAAATTCAACATGGGCGGCTGTTAGCACGCGCCCCTAACTTTACAGTGTGCTGTTTAGCTATTCTTTATTCATATATTTATAAAAAAATATTATCAATATTCTATACATATTATAGTTTTATATTAAATTTATAATAATTCTTTTGAAATTTGTTAAAAAAAAGAAAGTGAGATGATACATGCCGTCTCACGCCTCTGGTTTACAAAGAGTGTAAATAATGTAATATAATTAATCACACTGTAAAATGAATTACGCATACGTACCAGAAACGACCCAAAGAAAATGTAACATATTTTGATCATGTAATATATCTTAGTGGGTCGACTCAGTAAGCTAATGAGTACTTTAACCACCTAAAAGGTCCGATCAGTACAATCTAAGTGCTAAGTGTAAACATTCCGATATAAGAAAATTGAAATTCGTCTTTTTAGAGTTACATTTTAGTAAAGTTAATAAATATTTGTTTCATTTTTATTTATGCACAACTATAAAAGAAAATTACATATAGAAAATAAATAAATTTAAATAGATTTATAATTGACTAATCCTCAATTCCGACAATTTTAAATCGACCTTAAATAAAAGTCAAAATTAAATTAATAATCTCAGAAATGAACGTACCAAAATTAATCAGAATCCAATTAAAATTTTAAATCTCAAAAAGGTGTATTTATAAAATGGCCCAAAACCCCCCTCGAAATTCCCAACCCAAACACCTTCTTCCCTTTTTGCCCCCCTCTTCAGCATTTCAATTTTCATCTCTCTACAATGGGATTCGAATATTCGCCGGCTTCCCCCACCGGAAAATGGCTCGGCTTCGTCACCGCCATATGGGTGCAAGCAATTTCAGGAAACAACTACACCTTCTCAAATTACTCCGACGCCATTAAATCACTCATGGGGCTCACTCAGCTCCAACTCAACAGCCTCTCCGTCGCCAAAGACGTCGGAAAAGCCTTCGGCATACTCGCCGGACTCGCCTCCGACCGCCTCCCCACCCCCGTCATCCTCCTCATCGGTGCAATCGAAGGCTTCATCGCCTACGGCGTACAGTGGCTCGTCGTCAGCCGTCGGATCCAGCCCCTCCCTTACTGGGTCGTAAGTATATATCTATATATATTAACATCAAACCCTAGGATTTGATATAAATGTGTTGCAGAAATTTATGAAATTGAATAAAAATGTGTGCTGCTGCAGATGTCTATATTTCTGTGTATGGGAGGAAACAGTACAACGTGGATGAACACGGCGATTCTGGTCACGTGCATTCGCAATTTCCGTAAAAATCGGGGACCGGTTTCGGGGATTCTGAAAGGCTACGTCGGACTGAGCACGGCGATCTTCACCGACGTCTGCTCGGCGTTGTTCGCCGACGACCCTGCGAAATTCCTGATGATGCTGGCGGTGGTCCCGTTCGTCGTCTGCCTCGGCGCCATATTCTTCCTCCGCGAGATCCCGCCGTCGTCCACCGCCGCGGAGGAGAATGAAGAGACAAAATACTTCGCCGTAATCAACGTCGCCGCCGTAGTCATCGCTCTCTACCTATTGGCCTTCGACGTGTCGGGGACGCACGGCCGCCTATTCTCGCAAGTTTTCGCCGCCGTACTCATGGTTCTGTTAGCTTCCCCTCTGTCGATCCCGATCTACCTGGCGGCGAAGAATTTCATCCGTTCCGGCGGTAACAAAAAAGTAGACGTCGAGCAAACCACAGTGACGGAGCCGTTACTCGCCGCCGTCGCCGCCGCGGCGGAGGCTGAGAAGGAGAAGAAAGTCGAAACGACGTCGTTGGCAACAGAGAAGAGGAAGCCGGTATTGGGAGAAGAGCACACGATAATGGAGGCGCTGAGCACGGTGGATTTCTGGATCTTATTCGGGTCGTTTCTGTGTGGAGTTGGAACGGGTCTAGCAGTGATGAATAACCTGGGCCAAATGGGTCTTGCACTCGGGTATTCGGATGTATCCATGTTCGTTTCTTTGACCAGCATTTGGGGATTTTTCGGTCGGATCTTATCCGGGTCAATTTCCGAATACTTCATCAAGTAAGCCCAATTTTACCCCTCTCCATTTTAATTTAATTTAATTTTATTTTTATTGCGTCCTTTGCTTACTATAGTTGGTTTTAGAATTAGAAGAGAATATGCTTTACAGTGACGCATCAACATATCTTGATTTACCTTTTCAACTTGCCTTTACTCTTTCTTTTGCTTTTGATCATTCATATCATAACGTGAAGCATGACATTTTTCGCAGCAATTTCGGTAGACTCTAGAACTAAATTATTGATCCAATTTGGTATATCTGTATATCATCAATATGGGTATCTACGTGTACCACTAATCGAATTGGAGGTGTAATAGAAACGAACGCACGTTTGGTTTTTATCGACCTTTTAAAGTTGTGTTTAAACTTGATCTGGTAACATTTGGACTTTTTTTCCACAAAAAAAAAAAAGATGCCAATTGAGGTTTTGAAATCGAACTCGAATAGTTTTTTTTTTTATAAATATTTAATCATTATTTTTTTCTTCTAATCGAGATCAAGATTGAGCCGCTTCTTTATTGATTTTCGAACAAAACATTGTGTTCTATGGTTTGGGTTGTTATGTTACTTACAAATCGAGCTGAAACGAGCTTTTAACGAACGATCCTAATTTCCAGCCTTAGATTAGAATACTAGTGGTATATTATCAATTTCTTTTTTGGGGTGCACAAGAATATGTGGTAAAGAGAATTTTCAAAGAAGATCTTTGTTTTTTTTTATAAAAGAATAACAAGTCCCGAGGGAAGCTTCCTTCTTTGTTTTCTCATATGGCTTTTTTTTTTTTTTTTTTGATTAATTCATATAGTGGCTGTTGATGGCAAGTAAAAGTCACCATAAAATCTAATAAAATGCCTAAAATTCATGCATAAAGAGATACTTGATTCTTTTCCCACCTATCTATCTACCTCCATTAATCTTGGTCCAATAAAAATATCTTGGTCCAATAGTGTTATGGCACGTGCTAAAACTATGCTGCTGCACATTATAATGGACCACTCTTATCACTCCCCTCTCTCTCTCTCTCTCTCTACTACTGCACTCATTATTCAAGAATACCCTTTTCATTTCTTGGCCCCCAGTCCCCACCCCTAATTTATTACCTATAAATATAGACTGAGAGTTTTAATTTATATTATGGTAGGCCTCTTTTTGGAAATGTTTATATATGATTAGTTAGAATTGTTTGATTTGGTTTTATGAATTATGTGTTGCACGGATACTTCAACTTTTTAGACGTATTCACGTGTTAGATACTTCTCGTTGTCGGACTGTTTTGTTAATTTCCAAAAAAAATTGAAACACATTTCAATAGCAAATTTGCAGATATTTTTGTCGTTTTCTCAATTCTTTACATGATTTGATGATCAACTTTAAATTGATAGTTGAAATCAATATTTATTTAAATATATTATAGGAATTGTGTTTCATCATCTTCATGTTTGTGTAGGATTTAGGATTGAATTATTCGCGATAATGCAATCCTTGTTTGATTCAAATTCGAGCCTGTGCTTGAAACTTATGTTTATCAAGTCCTATCGCACTTTTTGAAACGACGCCTAAGTAATGATATACAGTACCACGTCGTCATAGTTGCTTTGACACAAACATATATTCTAATTATGACTGCATTCCATATTTATATTCGAGGCCACAAGGAGAAAGTCGAATTTTCGAATTTAGCCGAATTAGATTTCCCGATTTGGGGTTTTTTTGTTAATTTTTAATTTCATTTGTATAGGAGGGCCGGAACTCCAAGGCCCGTTTGGAATGCAGCTTCTCAAATTCTAATGGCAGTAGGGTATATTGTGATGGCAGTGGCTCTGCCAGGATCGCTATACGTCGGCTCTATAGTAGTCGGAATTTGCTATGGGGTCCGCTTAGCTGTCACTGTTCCTACAGCCTCCGAGCTATTCGGGCTCAAATATTACGGGCTCATTTACAACATTCTTATCCTAAATCTCCCTTTGGGCTCGTTCCTCTTCTCGGGCCTGCTAGCTGGCCTTCTGTACGACTCTCAGGCCACGCGCACAGCTGGCGGTGGAAACACGTGCATTGGGGCCCACTGCTACAGGCTTGTTTTCGTTGTTATGGCTATTGCCTGCGTTATCGGGTTTGGTCTTGATGTTTTGCTGTCTATCAGGACCAAGGGTATTTACAGAAAGATCTACGCTAGCAGAAAATCGAAGAAGTCTTCGGTCTCTAGTGTTAGTTGATCTTTAAGATGGAACTGATGGAAATTCCATTATTTTTTTCATTTCTCGAATGTTCCGTTATATATAAATAACTTGTAAGTTGTATTTTGCTAGTGTTGTGTTGTGCAAGTCTGTTTTTCCCCCACGGGACTGTATGTAGTATCGGGAATTCGTGTGTATCGATTTTTTAATACGCTACATCGATTTGTAATATGTAGTATTGGAATTCGAAATGCTAGTCAAAATTTTCCACAGAAACTTAGTTTTTACTAGACTTTGGGTACATTGATTTTGATTCTATAACCAATCCAAATAATAACTTTTGCATGATAGTACAACAATGGGCATGCATCGGAAACTACAAATTTCGTGTACGATCGTATTATTGTCTCCCTCAGAATTTTTCTAATGCATTCGGCCTCAGCTTACTTAAAACTCTAGCTCCGTCAGTCTACAATTAATTTCAAACAATAGAACATTGGCGCCCAACACCAAACTTAGGTCATTAGCTCAATCGGAAAACATTAGTTTGTTACAAAATGATCAACGGTCCCGATTGAAACGTAGTTACGAAAAATTGAACGAACGGTAATTTTGAGAGATGGAGATCGAATGTGAGGAGAAATAGAATACGACGATCGACGAATTCAAGTCAATCGGAAAACCCTAGTTCGATACAAAAGCTCAAGAATTGGTATCTATTGCAAGTAGATACTGACGTTACGACGTCGTATTGGAGAAATATACTGAGGTTGGGGCTTTGTTTGGGTATGGACTCGTATTTGGAGGATGCAAGAATGATTGGGCCAGCTATTGGAGGAAGCCCAATCCAATTTAATAAATTAAGCCCAGTTATGTTATTACTTTTACAATTTGAATTCTACTTTAATTTTACAGCTTATTTAAATTACAAAAAATACAAAAATAGGCAGGTTGTTACAGAATATGGTTTTAAAGTAAATAAAGAAAAGGAAAATCCAAAGAATTATTTTCCAACGTACAAGAGATGGGAGTTAGATGCTACACCTGGTTATTTACAACGAGTGAATTTAAACCGTAGATTTAATTAAACAACTACTCGCTAAGCATAAATACGCATGATTATATATATACCGTCCCAGTTTATGCATGATCAAAGTATACTTTCGAGTTTAACATAACTAAACTTCACTTCAAAAAAGGATCATATATTTTTGTTGCGCAAAGAAATGCAATACAAATTTAATTTGTTATCAAGGGATGTAAACCTAGTTACAATCTATCAAGAACTGATAATCGGTGACACACAAACTTGAGGTTGTTAATCAAATTATCTTGAGATGAGGCGCGTCGCGTTTAGGAGTCTCTGACGCGTGCAGAACTTCATGTACTATGAAGTATAGGCATGCAAATTGGTAATAATTGGTTTCCTCACACGCCTAACTCACAACTATATACTATAAACACCCCCTACAAATTGTGGTGCATTAAGCCGCATGATTTTCTTTCTTCTTTTTTCCCAATTTTGGTATTCGATGCTCGTTGGTTGGCAATGGCAAAGTCGGAATTTTATTATTTTGTGGGTTCAAATTATTAAAACATTATTGTTTAATTGATTAAACTAGTAATTAATTTAATTTGCCTCGAAAAAAGAAAATGACAATTGACGGTATACTTTTGTAGTGTTGTGTCATATGATTCCCGCAAGTCTTTTCCCTTTTTATTAGTTCAGCTCATCTGCCCTCTCTCTCTGTCACGGGAAATGGAATTTTATTTAATATAATATAATTATTTCTTTTAATAAACATATGTTTAATTAGGATTAATTTAATATATACTATCTTTTTCACAGTCGATATTATTTATTTAATTTAATTATATAATTGGAGGAACTGATTAAGCAAGTAAAATTCTGCTGCTGCTCCTCCTCTCATAAAACCAACTATTTCACTTGTGATTCTCTCTCTCTCTCTCTCTCTCTCTCTCTCTCTCCTTTTTGAATATTATATATGTATAGATATACATACACAATTTGTATTTGTATATGTACTGATTCTCTGCCTGCAATTCTTGGTAACCAACAATAGCATGGGAGTATTCATACTCTTTTTTCTCCAATTCTTCTTCATCTCACCTCTTCTCGTTTCATCCTTCGGTCTCTCTCTCTCTCTCTCTCTCTCTCTCTCTCTCTCTCTCTCTCTCTCTCTCTCTCTCTCTCTCTCTCTCTCTCATATACATTGACTCTGGTAATTTGTTGCAGATGGGCCACTGTACGATTCATCTGCTTATACTGAGGTACCTTCAACACACTCTTTTACTCTTGCTATATATATACATATATATATATATATATATATATATATATATATATATATATATATATATATATATATATATATATATATATATATCACTAACAACATGTCTTAATAATGCATACATGAACATGTTTGAGTACAGTGCAAACTACAACCTGAGAAGCCACTCTACAACGGAGGAATTCTCAATAACCCTCTCGTTAACCGGGACCGAATCAATTCGCCCTCATTCGTTCTCCAAAACCTCCAAAATGCCACTAAATACTGTTTCTCCAGTTGAGCTTTCCTTTAATTTAATTTTCATAAGGTAGAAAATAATAATAATATTACTCTTGATATATAATTGACATATTATTATTATTATTATTATTGTTACAAAAAAATTAGTTTGGATCAAGATAAACGAGCCCGAACCAGCACTAGTTCGGGCTAGCGTCGTAACGGAAGCGACAACGTTAAAATGCATAGGGACCGTGATTGCTAAAGAAGGATGTTGGTCATTTCTCAAAGGTGGATTTGTATTGTCTTCACCATCAAATTTATCCACTCTTTATATCCAGGTACATTATATATATATATATACTATTAAATTTAATTGGGTAAATTACAACAAGTCCTGAGGTATGGTCAATTTACAAAAAAATCCCTCTTGTTTGGATAATTCTATATATCTACCCCTCAGCTATGATTTTTTCTAACACCTCCACCCTTATGGTGTCAAATTCAACATAATCATTTAGATTTCGTGAAATGTGCTCTAGTTTGTCCTCGTTTTGTGTAAAAATACAATTTTTGATGCACCACAATCTGATATATACAAGCTTAAAAACACATATTATGATCATTTTGCTTCAAAATGTGGAGTTCGAATCGGATAAAACTGGTACAAAAATAATAATAATCCATATAATCTCGAAAATTCGACGAAATTTGAAACTGCAAGGGTGGACGTGTAAAAATATTTATAGTTGAGGGGTGGTTGTAATTATCCAACCAAGAGGGCGGTTTTTGTAATTTGACCATACCTAGGGGTGATTGTAATTTACCCAATTTATCAATTTTATAAAGATCGTTGAAATTAATTCTTTTCGTCGAATACAGAATCCGGATGGACGAAACATCAGTATCGAAATTGCTAGTGCTTCTTTGCAGCCATTCACTGATCAGCAATGGAGGCTAAATCAAGATACAAAAATTAATCAGGTCCCGAATTTCGTATTAGATCAAGATTAATTATATTTTTTTATGTTAATTTAGTTTAATTTTTTTTGCTCTAATTAAATAGTGTTATACTATGTAGGCAAGAAAACGTGCAGTAAATATTCACATTTCAGACAAAAAAGGAATTGGATTGAAAGGGGCAGGAGTAAGAGTTGAGCTTGTCTCTAAAGATTTCCCATTTGGATCTGCTATTGCCAGCACCATTTTAGGAAATCCACTCTATCAGGTCTGCATATTTACGTTTTTACCCCTGCAACTTAAGTCTTTCATAAAATTTATTAAAAAAAAAAACTATAGTCAATGCAATATTGTTACAGAATCAGTTAATATTTGATTGTTAATATATACCAAGGACTTGTCGAAAAATTGAAATGGTTATACTATCGATTTTATCGTCTGATCAGAAATGGTTCGTGGAGAGGTTCAATGCAGCAGTATTCGAAAACGAACTCAAATGGGACGCAACCGAACACACACAAGGCCAATTGAACTACACGATACCCGATCAAATGGTCGAATTCGTTCGATCGAACCAAATAATGGCAAGAGGCCACAATATCTTCTGGGAGAATCCAAAGTACATTCCTAAATGGGTCCTAAACCTAACCGGGTCGGATCTAGAATCCGCGGTCGAGTCGAGAATCGAAAGCCTGATGAACAAGTACAAAGAAGAGTTCATCCACTGGGACGTGAGCAACGAGATGCTCCATTATGATTTCTATGAGAAAAACCTCGGCCCGAATGCCACTCTGCGGTTCTTCGGGTCGGCCCATCGGGCCGACCCATTAGCGACGTTGTTCATGAACGAGTTCAATGTGGTTGAGACTTGCATGGATGCTGATTCGACGGTGGATACGTATGTATCGAGGATGAGGGAGTTGAAGATGGGAGGGGTGTCGATGGATGGAATTGGACTGCAGGGGCATTTTGACGTGCCGAATTCCCCGTTGATGAGGGGCGTTTTGGACAAATTGGCTACTCTCGGACTTCCGATTTGGCTTACTGAAGTTGATATCAGCAACAAATTCAACAAAGAAACACAGGTGTGTATTGTATATAAAGTAATCATCTATATTTTTTTATATTTCTAAATATGCTCGTAAAAATTAGCCGAGTCGAACTTGAGTAGGGGTAAAAATTAGAACGAAAAATTTGAATTCCGTCGAATTTGATCTGAAAAATTTCCAATTTTGGAACACTATTTGAATTATGAATTCCGGTTTTCAACTCTACTTGGAACGGAATTGGATATACATATTAGATTCTGATTCTCGATCCCAGTTCAATTGCCGAAATTAATTCCAAAAATTCTGATTTTTTTTTTTCCAAAAATTACACTTACAATATCAATATTATTATGTATTTTTTTATTATAGGTGATCAAAAACTATATTCCTCCGATCACGATCCAAAAAATTACGATTTTGGAACAATTTTTGTCATCCAATTTCCGAAATCTCGATTTTCAATTTTTCCTTTTTTTTTTGTGAAATAAAACTTGAACTAGTGTTCAACTTCCGAATTCAACCTGATATGTCCGATTTCCACCCTACAGTGGAGCTTACTTATGTTCAAAATCGCACGAGCCGACTCTTGATTATTATTATTATTATTAGTATTAATTAATTAATTACAGGCAATCTACCTAGAGGAAGTTCTAAGAGAAGGATTTTCACATCCAGCAGTGGACGGGATCATACTGTGGACAGCATTGCGCCGAGGGGGCTGTTACCAAATGTGCCTCACAGACGGTGACTTTAACAATCTTCCAGCTGGAGAAACTGTGGACAACCTCCTCAAAGAGTGGGATACTGGGATTTTGAATGGCCAAACAGACGAGCACGGCTCGTACACATTCTTCGGGTTCTTGGGTGAGTACAAGGTCACCGCTAAATACGGGAACGCTACGTTCGATTCGACTTTCTCGCTGCCACGTGGCAAAGAAACCAAGCAGTTCAACATTCAAATGTAACTGTGAACAAATATTATAATTAATGTTGTTTCAACATATACCAAACTTATTGTCTTTAAGAGTACCTCTATCACTATTTTTATTTTTTGGTATATATAATATAATATATTAAAATAATAAATTATCGTAATTAGTGAAATTGAAGTAATCTTTTAAAAAAATTTGATAAGATTGAGACGCGAATCATAGTGAATATTGTATTAATATAGATTCGACGAGAAATGAACACGTTTTTTAAATAATAAAAGAACGCACACTCTCTTGTATACTCTCTCTGCATTATTTATATACTTTTGGTTCATTTAATTCATCGCCACCGGGCATTTTATCGATGTTAGGTCGACTATCCGGCAATTAAGGGAACACAGTCCAGAAAGAACACTTGAAGGCGTAGATCCCACACCATCACTTTTATAGCGAGAAAACCATATAGTTGAAGCAAAATCTCAACATATAAATAAAGACAATAAAGAAAAAGATTGTAATAAGGCTGTCATTTGTTGTACTTTGAAGTGAGAAAGTAAGACAATGGCTAAGGGGAATCTAAATGATGACGATTCTATAAAATTCCTATCTTATAAAGTTTACAAAGAGTATTGAAAAAAATTCAAATAAAAGCAATTTATTTCTTTCTAATCATAGATATTATAGAGACACGTGTACTAATAAAATGACATGAGATGATGTCACACATTAGTAAGCCCATGTGAATAATGGGAGAGAGTTTTGGGCATTTGGGCTTTTGTGTTAGATTTTAGAGCCCACACAGAAGAAAGGGCCCTCATTGGAAACAATTCCCCGCACGTGACAAAAGCAACTTTCTTCTTCTCTCAAAAAGCGACCACGCCCCTTTGCCTACAATCATTTGGTCTACTTTCTCATTTTTCCCAACATTTTAACTTTTTTTTTTCTTATTATTATTGCTTTTTTTTTTTTTCTAGCTTTTGTCTCCTTTTCAAGACCCTCGTTTCTTGTAATAAAAAGAATAAAATAATTAGTCATTTCAAAATATTTTATTTAGAATTAATTAAATTTCTAATGAAGGGCAAATTGGTCTTTTGAAATTAATTCCTGCTGATGTGAATGGGCACGAGTAAGTGAGAAAAAAACCCGGTGTATTATTTATTACCCACTAAGAAAAAGTTGGATATATGTGTCTTGTTATGTATTAATTAATGATCCAGAATCACTCGGTGTATTTCATAGAGCGCAACATCTACAAAACCGTAAGCCACTTGTTGTAATATTTTCTTTTAATATACAAGGATTTATTGTGGAAATGTCAAGAAAATGGGAGGGGCTAAAGGGTAAATAACTATTTGGTTCATTAGTAGTGTTGGAAGTTGAGAAACCCCACTCGTGCGGACAAGGGCTTTCACGCTTCTATAATTATTAATCCATTATTTCAAGAAATAATTAAAACAAATCACTTGTACTAATAATAACTCAATTTTTATTTACAACAAGACAAATCAGATTTTAATCAACCAACCAAGGGAGACACGAACAACACCACCTCTAAAAGCGTGTTTGCACACCTCTCTTCCCAAAATCGCGCTTCACACTTTTGTCCCCACACTTGCACACACACACACACACACACACATATATTATATATGCATTCTGCATTCACAAGTCACAACTTGAATTTGTTCATTACCAACATATACATATATATATATTATATATACATATACACTCGAACACGCAGTAGAAACACACACCACACAGAGAGGAGAAGCTAGCTAGCTAATTAGCTATGGCGGCCCCTTCCGACAAGGTGGTTGAGACAGTTATAGCTGGAAACTACGTGGAGATGGAGTCGGAAGGAAAACAAAGAGACTTCAAGTCAAAAGTTTCCAAGCTTTTCTGGCACGGCGGCTCCGCCTATGATGCCTGGTTCAGCTGCGCTTCCAACCAGGTTCCGTTTCGGTTTCGGTTTCAGTATATATATTTAGGATAAATTACGGTCGCCCGTGAGTTATGATCAAATTATGAAAACACCCCTTTTGTTTGGGTTATTACAGTCACCCATCAATTATGTATTATCTTACGAAAATACCCCTCCAAAGGTAAATTTTATGAATGCTAAATTGGTAAAACTGAACCAAAATTTCGGTACACCAACATTTCATGTCGTTTACTAAACTGAATATATGGTTTGATAAATATTCAAATTACATAAAATTTATGTAAAAATATAAAAAAGAAGGGGATGCCTGTAATTATTTAAACAAGAGAAGTTTTTTTCCGTAATTTGACCATACACCTCAAGGGCTGGCCGTAATTTGCGCCATATATTATATATTTCTCTCGTTCTCTATGATGATTGTGTGTGTATCAACTGCCAGGTGGCACAGGTGCTGCTAACATTGCCGTACTCATTTTCGCAACTCGGAATGCTGTCGGGGATTTCGTTTCAACTGTTCTATGGTCTAATGGGAAGTTGGACGGCGTATTTAATCAGCGTTCTCTACGTTGAGTACCGAACCAGAAAAGAAAGAGAAAAAGTTGATTTCAGAAACCACGTTATTCAGGTTTTTTATTTTCATTAAATCTTAGTTTTAATCATATTTAATAATTAAACTCGACTCAAAAATAGGGTTTATACAGCTATGGAGGATTATTAATCGGCCCTTGGGGCATGGTTGGAGCCATTTTTTTTTTATTTCATACATAGTAAGGGTAAATTACGTAAACTCCCTAGACTTAGTCTAAATAACGTAAAACACCCCTACCTATTCGTAATAACCAAAATCCTCATCTGTTTAAAAGTTGATCGAGTTTTTTATTAGAAAATGTGGACAGTCTGTTATATCTTATGTTAAATAGGTGAAAAGTAAAAAAAAAAATATCTGAAATTGTGTAAAGTCTATTCCTTGGAAAATCAAAAAAATGTGTGAAAATTCACACGATAAGGGCTGGTGCAAGAATAAAACAAATTTGTGGCAATTTTGGTAAATACGAATAGATGGGATGTGTTTCGTTTTTTATCCTAATTTATGGCGTTTTTCGTAATTTACCCTATATAGTATTAATAGTCAAAGAAAGAAAGAAAAAAAAACATAATCCAAACACGAAAAAAGACAAAATGATCACATGGGATTTCTGTGATTTTGTTTTTGCATGGTGATAAATTAAATTAAAAATAATAGTTTAAAAAAGAATTAATAATAAAAATTGATGAGAGAGTGCAGTGGTTTGAAGTTCTTGATGGGCTACTGGGAAAACACTGGAGGAACGTGGGTTTGGCATTTAACTGCACTTTTCTTATGTTTGGGTCCGTGATTCAGCTCATAGCCTGTGCCAGGTATCTATATATATATATTTAATTAACTAATTAATTAATTGTATTTTAATTTGAATGGTGATTAATTAATTAAATGAAATTGAATAAAAATTGCAGCAATATATATTACATAAATGATAATTTGGACAAGAGAACATGGACGTACATATTCGGCGCGTGCTGTGCGACGACGGTGTTCATACCATCTTTTCGTAATTACAGAATTTGGTCCTTTCTTGGTTTGGTTATGACCACTTATACTGCTTGGTACCTCACCATTGCTTCCCTTCTCCATGGTCAGGTACTTCGATAAATTAATAATATATCGGGATTTTTTTTAAAGTATTTCGAGTGTTATATTAATTAAGGTGAAAAATACAGTTTTTGTCCTCACATTAGCATCGATTTCACATTTGGTACTTTGTGTTTACAAAAAAAACACATTTTGTCCATCATGTTTCAAAAATTCAACATTTTTAGTCGTTTTCGTTAATTTTATGTGACTTAACTGACAGACTAACGGTAAACTGACGGAAATGACCGAAACCGTTAAATTATTGAAACATGGGAGATCAAATGTGGTTTTTGGTGAACACAGAGGACCAAATGTGAAAGCGAAGCAAACTTGAGTGGTGAAAACTGTAATTTTCCCATTATTAGGATACCATCTTTACGTGGACCTACAACCATAATCGGAGCCAAGATTTTAAGTTCGCGAACGCCAATCATGCTAATTCTACGCAAATTTTTTAAATCTTTACATAAAAAATAGGGATTCGAAAATTGTCGAGCGTTATAACTTATAACCCCCTACGACTCTATATTTTGGCTCCACCACTACCTACAACACACATGCAAGAGCCAAGAAGATCTCCTAGTTTTAAATATTTTATTGTAATAATAATAGGAATCAAATTTTGCTGACTTGACTAAGATTTGACCAACTTCTAATTGGTTGTTGATGATTTATTTATAAGCAAAATCCAAGATTATTTAAATAGTAATTAATAAAAAAATATGTTGATTAAAAATGATGATTAACAGGTGGAGGGTGTTAAGCACTCGGGTCCAGCTAAGATGGTGTTATATTTCACGGGAGCCACTAACATTCTCTACACATTCGGTGGTCACGCCGTTACTGTGTAAGACACGTGTCCTCTCTCACTTTATATTTTTTTAATTAACTAATAAAATCTTTATTAATTATATATAATTATCCAAAATAGATATTTATTATTGTTTTTGAAAGTGACTTAAGCTTGGTCTAGAATCGACAACGACATATGATCTTCGCATGTGAATCTAATGACCAATCTATTTTATTTCCCTTTGTGTTTTTCAATTCTTTTATGTCACGTCATTTTCATTCTAATTTAGATCGCTGTCCTTAATTCCCATGCGTGCTACTGCAAAAAATTAAAATTAAAAACTATAAATGAAAATAAAAAAGTTGCACTTTTTTAGAAATTTACTTGGCTTTATACAGTAGGTTTTTTTTTTTTTTTTTTAAATCAGAACCATTTAATATACAGTAGGTCTAGGCTAGGCCTAGGGGCGAAAATTGGAACGAAATTTTCGATTTCCATCAATTTCGATCCGAGATTTTCCGATTTTGGAACGATATTTTCAATCCAAATTCTAAATTCCAATTTTTCCAAAATTATTTTGGATCGGAATTGGGCCTCATTAAAATATATTTTAATGACTCAGATGGTAGATTAACTATAAGTGGGCTAGATTGGATATATTAATTGGGCTTAATGAATTGAATAAGTAGTACATAGTGGAAATAATAATTGGCTTAGGATGGGCTTGACTACCGTTGACCGGTCAATAGATACTCCCTCAATTCACCTTCCGTAGGCATGAGTCATGACCACGATCCGGTTCCGGTTCGGAGTCGCCTTCTCGGGTTCAAGTTTTGACTCAACCAGAACCGGGTTGGTTATGGGGAGGTTCAAGGTCGGTTTAAAACCGTCGGTCCGAACAAATTGACGGTCATGTTCGACACTTAACCCCGTTATTTTCAAATTTTGTTATTATACGTATAAAAATTAGGGCAAATTACGATCATCCACTGAGGTATGGTCAAATCCGATTGTTTGGGTAATTACAGCCACCCCTCCTTTTGAATATTTTTACATAAAATTTATGTAATTCAGGTATTTACCGAACCTAATCGTATACTCAGTTCGGTAAACGGTATGAAATGTTGGTGTACCGAAATTTCAGTTTCGTTTACTAATTTAACATGCCTAAATTTACCTCTGGAGAGGTATCATAAGATAATACATAATTGACGGTGAGTGTAATTACCCATACATGAGGAGGTTTTCGTAATTTGACAATAACTCAGGGCGTAGCCGTAATTTGCCCTAAAAATTAAAACTGTAGTGTCTAGCATAAACTCAAAATATATCTCACATTTGACCCACATATATCACATACATGACAATAAACTCCATATCCTATAATTGTTAGTTGTCAGCAATTAAATGAAATCTGAGAAAAAATAATCAATGCCAAGTCTGAAAATTCAGTGATTTAGCTGAGCCGTAGGATTGAATGCTCCAATTTCAATTTATGAATTAATTTTTAAGAAAATAAATAATTAATAATCATGAAAATATTAAGCAATAAATATTTTATTTTTAATTAATTAATTAATATTAATTTAAATGATGGCAGAGAAATAATGCATGCAATGTGGAAGCCAGAAAAATTCAAGGGAATATACTTAGTAGCAACAGTGTATGTGTTGACTTTGACCATACCATCAGCAACAGCAGTGTACTGGGCTTTTGGTGATTTGCTTCTAAACCACTCCAATGCATTTGCCCTTCTTCCCAAATCACACTTCAGGGATATTTCTGTCATTTTGATGCTCATTCACCAGGCATGTCTTTTTCATTTCCCACCTACCCCCCTTTCTTTTTCTTCTTTCTTTTTTTAATATTATTATTAAAATGGATATTTTAAATTCAAAAGTTTGAAAATTATAATGAACTTTATATTGTTTTCAAATATAGTAATTTCGTACTGTTTTTTAGCCGTTATATAAAAAGCATAACGATAAATGTATATAATTTTAGGAAAACTAATTTTGTTTTTGAAAATTTCATAAATTATTCCGATTTCGGTTCAAAATTGATTTTATAAAATCAAAAATCGAATTTTTAGAATGATATAGTTCAAAAATCGAAATCGGCGGAATGAAAAAATAAATCGTTTTGATTTCCATCTCCAATTATCAAAAATTAATTCGGATGTTATTTTTTTAAATTAAATTAGTACAAACCCGAATTTTGGATGTTAGTTTTTTGAAAATTAAACACGAATATTACATATATATTTTTTTTGAATTTCATATATTATTCCGAAAACAATTCCAAAAAAAGATTTAAACAGAAATTCAATAATATGAATTTTGAAAATGATAAAGTTCATTCGAGGAAATCGTAACTTTCTCAAAATCGGAATCGACATAATTCAAAAAAAAATAAAAAAAAAATCAGTTAGACGTGATCGTTTTGATAATTGATATTGTATCGCAGTTTATAACATTCGGGTTCGCATGCACGCCGTTATATTTCGTGTGGGAGAAAGCAATAGGCATGCACGAGTGCAAGAGCATGTGCAAGAGGGCGGCGGCTCGTCTGCCGGTTGTGATTCCGATATGGTTCCTAGCCATAATTTTCCCATTTTTCGGCCCAATTAATTCCGCCGTCGGAGCACTTCTCGTAACTTTCACAGTATACATTATCCCTTCTTTGGCCTACATTTTCACCTTTAGAACAGCTGCTGCACGAGAGGTACACATTCATAATCTATTACTTTTTTTAATTAACTAATTAATTATTATTATTATTATAGAATTATAAAAAAAATTAATTAATTAATTAATTATCATTATTATTATTATTATTATTTTAAAAAAATTGCAGAATGCAGTGGAGCAGCCCCCAAAATACTTTGGGAGGTGGGTTGGTGCATACGTCATCAATATATTCATAGTTGTGTGGGTTTTGATAATTGGGTTTGGGTTTGGTGGTTGGGCTAGCTTAACTAACTTTATCCACCAGATTAATACTTTTGGGCTTTTCACCAAATGCTACCAATGCCCACCACAGCTGCCGCCGCGCTTGGCCAACGCCGCCGCTCCTCCGTTGCCGCCTCACATTCACAACCGTTGAGATTTTCTCGCTCATAGATTGTAATGTAGATTATTAATTAGACCTTTGTGATAGTTTTATTAATTTTAAATATGCATGCTGCAATGAATTATAAACAAGTGATCTAATGTTGTTATGAATTTCATAAACTGGCAAATGATTTATTTTTTTTTTATTTATTTATTTATTAATTAGAGGATGTTAGAGAGAAATTAAACATCGGCTTGGCGACTGACCCTGTCTCTTGGATTGATGACTAAGGTTTTCTTCGAGCCCAAAAAATTAAATATCATTATTAAAGCCAGCAGTTGAAATAAATTAAATTCAAAACTACTTAGAAATATTTAAAACTATACTATTTCGATAAATTAATACTCGACAATTTAATAACCCTCGCTTGAATAATATTTTTTCCCGGTCCCAACTCAGTAGAAGCAAAAATATTACTTTTATGGTTGTTCCAGTCGCGACCAGAACAGTCAAATGTTATGTAGTTCCGCATAGCTCGTCCCACCGCGTGACAATGCAAAAATCGTTATTTTATGGATTCTGGAAGGAAGGGCACCGTATGACCCAAAAAAAAAAAAAAAAAAAAGGGAAAATTACAACCACCCTGAGGTATGGTCAAATTACGAAAACCCCCCTCTTGTTTGGATAATTACAACCACCCTTCAACTCGTCAATAGTGGAATCTTCGAGATTATATGGAATATTATCACTTTTATATCCGTTTTATCTTATTCGAACTCTACATTTTGAAGCAAGATGATTGTAATGTGTTTTTTGGCTTATATATATATATATATATATATATATATATATCAGATTGTGGTGCATAAAAAAATGTATTTTTACACAAAACGAGTACAAACTAGAGTACATTCCACATAATCTATGTTGAATTTGACACCATAAGGGTGGAGGTGTAAGAAAAAATCATAGTTGAGAGGTAGATGTAACTATCCAAACAATATGGGGTTTTTCATAAATTGACCACACCTCAGGTAGTGTTTGTAATTTACCCTAAAAAAAACTCCAATAATGCACCAAAATCTTGATCCATTGGTAAAGGTACTTGGGAATCACAAAGCAGAGATATTATTCGAAAAGTGTACAAACAAAAAAAGCACCATACTTGCTTCCTCTGCACTATGATTAATTGAGCTAGTGCCAGAACATCTGTAGTACCACCCTGTCAATTTCCGATTAAATTAGGAGAGAGAGAGAGAAACAGAAAGATCACATAAGAGATATTTGACCAAATTAAATAAAGAATTTATATTTAATTTTATTATTCCAATGTTTCTTATTTATTTCTTCTTCAATACTTTTGCAGCAGTACTCCTATTATTGAAGGTAGTGTCGGTTTTTAGAACGTCGATTTGAATATGTTAATCACTTACTGATAATTAAATACTAATTGATAATTAAAATATTAATAAGTACAGAATTAATAATAATAATAAGAAGAACAAACACAAAATATTTAAAACCAAACATTCGTCATATCATAATACTGCCGCAGAGTGACCACAATTACCAAACCATGAATAACAAATGGTTCACCATTTCAAAACAACTTCAAAAAAAAAATTAAAAAAAAAAAGAAAAAAAAAACAGATAAAAACTAGATTAATACTAAATATAAAATAGAAAGACAGATCCACCATCCAAATCAGATCTAACGGCTGGCAGTAGGGCATTCGCGCGAGAAATGGCCTTCTTCGCCACAGTTGTAGCAGCCTCCACCGCCACCACCGGATCTTCCACCGCCACCGCCTCCATACCTTGCACCACCACCGCCGCCGCCTCCGCCCTGAGGACAGTCCCTAGCCATATGTCCATTCTCACCGCACTTGTAGCAACCGCTACCTCCGCCACCACCGCCGCCGTATCCACCGCCACCACCGCCGTATCCGCCGCCGCCTCTGCTACCTCCATCGTAGCCACCTCCGCCGTAGCCACCTCCTCCACCGTAGCCACCGCCGCCTCGGCTACCACCGTCTCGTCCGCCGTAAGATCCACCGCCTCCGCCACCACCGCGCGTGGTTCCCTGCACGGCAGCACCGTCCGGACCGGTCACGTTCGCCGCCTTGGCGCGGCCGTCGTTGCCGTGCTCGACGGTGAACTCCACCGTCTCGCCCTCGCCGAGGCTGCGGAAACCCTCGGATTTGATGGCGGACTGGTGAACGAACAGATCGTCGCTGCCATCGTCGGGGGTAATGAATCCGAAACCCTTCTGATCGTTGAACCACTTAACTGTACCCTTTTTCAAATCACTCTCAGCCATTGTTACAAAACCCTACTTTTTTCTCAAACCTCTCTCTCTCTCTATTACTTTCTCTCTCTACAAATTATATCTCTTGTATTCTATATGGGCTTCGTACGTGGAGAGATATATATTTGCCACGAAGAGTGCCACATAAGCGGATTTCATTTTCGAATTAAGTGATATCCAATTCCTAGCTGGGGTCCGCGTTTTCCTCTCCGTCTTTTTGTTTTTTTTTATTGGGACTCTTATTTTCTTCGGGAAGCAACGCAACGGCTAGATTTCATCGAGGAAGATCTAACGGTCATGAATTGATGGATCGCCTCATCGTACCGTTGGATTTAGGGTTTTAGCAGACGAGTGGTCAAAATCATAGCACCACGCAGCTAGGGTTTATCTAGGTTTATTGTTTCGGTAAATGCAAGAACCCCCCTGTATTTTACAACAATTGCTAGCAACTCCCTCATATATAAAAATAGCCTTAAAATTCCCCTGTGTTTTTAGAAAATCTGCAAAAATCCCCTATTATGGATAATTATCACTAGTTTATTTGTAAAGAATTAAATTAAATATACATAGAAACAAATCTCAAAATTATAATGCACATACTTAATATTTATAACAACCAGTATTATTATTTAAATTTTAATAAATTTATTATTAGAAAATAAAAAATTAAATATAATTCTCTTGAGATATTTTTATGTGAGATAATGCAACCAAATAATTGTCTTCGGGCCAAGCTTTACCTGGCCCATAAATCTTTTCTGCTTATCCTATTTTCTATACGGGCTTGTGCTTATCGGGCCTTTTCTTACTCATGCAAAGGCCCGCCCAAAATCGATTGACCGGATTGGAATAAAATTGAAATCGCTTTAAAACGCTTCTTGCTTCTTTTTTGAGTTATATGTGGAGGTTTATATCCTACAATCAAGAACAATATTTAATAATTATATATTATATTTTTTTTATTAAGGGTTAAAATAAAGTTGTGTCGATATTAATGCATGGTTTTTCAATCTTCTTTGAACTTCTATTGAGATTTCGAAGCTGTCGCTTCATTTTCTTTTTGGTTTGATAAACAATTGAATTGAACTCCGAGCACTGAGTTTTACAGTAAAAAAAAATCCCACAAATATGTTTAATAAAATAGATACTAAATGATGGAAAATTAATGAAATATTAATTTGTAAAATGAAACTAATTGTGAATAAAAAAAGTATATTATAAATTAAATAGGCGACAAAGAAAATAGAGCCAAATTGTCACTCTAATCACAAAAAAGGGTAAAAATGACTTTCTTATAAAAAAAAAAGGGGTTAAAATGACTAATGAGAAAACAAATGAGTGAAGTGACTAGACTGTGAAATTGCATGTCTGGTTTTTGGTTAACACATCATGCACTATGGGGTTGTGTGCTGCTTCCTGCTACTTCGAATCGAGCTTTATCTTGTCCTCATTATTTATTTGGAGTCTATTATATTGTCACTTTGTAGTTATTTTGTAGTGTCAACAATTTTATCCTCTTTAATAATTCTATTAGTCGGTGTTAGCACTCTGACGGTCAAGTCAGCCGAAATCATGGAGAAAATAATATATGAGTATATATTTAGAGAGAGAGACTTCCCTTGTACCTCAAGACTGTATTTATACATGTCGTAGGGATGACATGATGGGCCCCCAACTAAGTTTTTAGTCAAATTACAGGTGGGAGTGATGGTGGGAGTGATGTGATTACTTCGACTTGTGCTTGTTTATTGAAGGCGAGCTGTCTCGTTTCTTGTGAGCTAAACCTAGTTCAATGGAGACTGGGGAGAGCTCGTAGTTGTGATCACTTCGTTTTTAGCCGCGAGTGGGCCTTTCCTCGGTCCATTTCATGCTGTGGGCTTTTTGCATTTTTTCTGTCTTTTGGGCCGAATGTAGTCACATTCACCGTCTATGGATTCTCTACCTTGAATTAGTGGTCGAAGTGGGAATGAACATGGGCTTTATTTGTTGGATTCTTATTATTTGGGCTTTTGGAGCAATCCAACCAATATCAATATTTATGTATCAAATTCGATTGGGAATTGTACCGATTAAAAAAATTATAAATATTCACTTATTATAAATACTATTATATTAGAAGCATGAGTTGATAGATTAAACTATATTTTTTTTATAGGCCTAAAACAATTGCAATCTCGATTGTATCTCAAACTAACTAATACTCCATCACCATCATAAATGTTGAACATGGCAGACAAGTTATTTATGAGGTAAAGTAAAATGATAGCAAGTTACAATGAAGCATTGCATGTTAGACAACAACAATTGTGCCAATGTATCCCAAAAATAGCTTCTACTATTTCACCATCTTTTAAATATTTAGTGAAAGTTTAATTTTCTTGGTTCAACACGTAGCTCGATCACACGGTGTATAATATGCTGCATCAGGTAGAAATTTATCATTCGTATACACACAAACATAAATGTTTACATTGATGTGTGCAGATCAACGTTATAAATTCACTCAGTGTAACCTTCACTAGATGTAACATAAAAATAACCTCATTCACACACCCCCAGAGTAGATATGACCATGGTTAGGGATCGTATGTTCAAGAGTTAGAAAATCTCGATTATGATTCTGAATTGAACAATTTTAAGTTAATAAATAAATAATTGAACTTCGTAGGATAGGTCAATTCGAATCTCTCTAGTTAACAACACTTTTAATCTTGACCGTAGATATGCAACGACGACGAGATCATGTGCATTCGAGAAAATAAAATACTTAACTAATGTGTAAGATTCAACAAATTAAAATGAAAAAAATAATATGAAATTGAAAATATATTAAACAAGAAAAAAAAAAGAAATGAAAACACGTGATTTTCACCTTAAAAATACCCAACCTTTTTAATGATGATTGGGGGAGCAAAGTTTAACGGTGAAAACGAGGGAGCCTTTTCAACCGTCAGATTCGAACCCCTAAACCCCATCTAAACCGTTGATCTCCTCTTATCTTATTTTTTTCTTCTTTCACCTACTATACTCATTCTTCAGCTATTTTCGTTACTCCCCAACCTTCTGAAAGCTTCCTCTTTATTTCTACTGCGCCGATTTCTCTCTCTCTCTCTCTAAAACAATCTCTGGTTTTCATCTCTACATCCGTTTCACCAGGTTAGTTTTTTTTGAATTTTTGCTTGTTATATGTTTTATTTTGGTTATTGTTAAGTCTATGTTAAACCCTAGTTAAAAAAGGGATTCGTATTAGGGATCTGTTTTTGTAGACGTTCGATTATATGTATTTGCAGTTTGAGTAATGAATCTCTGCACTGATTTGATTATTACGGATTGGGGGATTCTGTGCAATGTTTAGTTATCGGTTTTGTTGACAGTTATTATTTTGTTTTATAATAATTTTGTTGTTGTTGTGATTGGCCATTGATTTGATTAGATTTCGAGTGAGATTAGTTTAACCAGTTTGCATACATGAACTCGGTGATATGGGTGACTTCGATTTTATTTACGCAGAAGGAGGTCTTCTATTTTGTTTTTTCTATAGAAGAATATACTAGAGTAGGTGACTAATGATTTTGTACTCGTTATTCTTGTATTGTTTCAGTGTATCAAGGCGGTTGTGGAGTTCTCTGTGATGGAAAATGGCATTGGCATTGCCGAGGATGCCAAGCTGAGGGAGATGAGTGTCGTGGCAAGCAAAGTAGTGGAGCCAATTATGAACAAGACTGTTGATTTAGGTTCGGACGAATCGCAGTGCTCTGATGGGGATGAAGTATTCGAAGAGGCAGTTGAGGCGGAAACCCCCTATGCCGATTCGGTGGATAGTATAATGACTAGAATTGGCAACGTCGATTTAATTTTTCCCTTTGAGAATAATGAGGGGAATTTAGATGCGCTACATGAGTTTGAAGAAGTGATTGGGGGTCCCGCTGTAGTTTCGAGTTCAGAGGATGCGGGTGCAAAGACTGAGATTTTGACGAGTGAGGAGAAGCAAATTGCTTCAGAGAAAATTGTGGGGGGCGAAACGAATGGATTGGTGGAAGATATTGTTAGTGAGGAGAATGGAAGTGCTATTGAGGATGGCAAAAATCTGTCGACGGAGATTGTTGGTTCAGCTGCCATTGCTGCTGAAACTGTGAATCTCAATGATGGAAATGAGAAGTCGGACGAGTCCAATCAAAGACCTGTGGGTGTCATATCAGAGAAGTTGAGCTCTATGGAAGACAATGTGGCTGAAAACAATGATAGTGCAACTGAGGAAGGGGAAAATCAGTGTGTGGAGGTTGTCGATTCAGCAGCCATTGCTGATGAAACTGAGAATCTAAACGATGGAAATGAGAAGTTGGATGAGTCCACTGTGGGTGTCATATCAAATGAAGTGAGCCATATTGAAGACAGTGATAGTGCTACTGAGGATGGGAAAAGTCGTAATACGGAAATTGTTGATTTGGCTGCCATTGGTGATGAAACTTCGAATCTAAATGATGAACACGAGAAGTTGGATGAGTCGATTCAAAACCCCGTGAATGTCATATCGGATCAAGTGAGCCATTTTGAAGACAGAGTTGCTGATAACGGTGATAGTGCTATTGACGACGTGAAAAATCAGCATGTGGAAAGCGTTAATTCATCTGTCAGCCATATTGAAGACAGAGTTGCTGATAACGGTGATAGTGCTATTGACGACGGAAAAAATCAGCATGTGGAAAGTGTTGATTCATCTGTCAGCCATATTGAAAACAGAGTTGCTGATAACGGAGATAGTGCTATTGACGACGGGAAAAATCAGCATGTGCAAAGTGTTGATTCATCTGTCATTGTGGATGAAACTCTGAATCTAAATGATGAAAATGAGATGTTTGACGAGTCCGTTCAGAACCCTGTGAACGTCATATTGGATAAAGCGAGCCGTGTTGAAGATAGTGTTGCTGAGGATAGTGATAGTGCTATTGAGGATGGGAAACTTCATAATAAGGAAACTGTTGATTCAACTGCCGTAGCTGATGAAACCGCGAGTCCAGATGATGAAAATGAGAAGTTGGATGAGCCCAATGAAAAGCCTGTGGGGGTCATTTCAAACAAAATGAGCTATGCTGAAGCTTTAACTTCTGGAGATGTAAAAATTGTTGATGCAGACAACAAAGAAGCACTAATTTCCGAGATGCCTAAAACTCAAGAATCCAATGAGTTAAGCAGAGATGTGACTGAACCAGAGAAGCTTGATATTGAAACAGAACATCATGAGATTACAGAAAATCAAGATTGCAATAAAGTAAATGGAGGTGAAATCGAGTCCAATCTTCCTGAAAATGGTTCCTTGGACCATGTCAGTATGGTTGGTACTTTGAATCATGAAGACATGCCGAGTGTAGATTCTGATGCGCTGAAAGAACAAGTTCAAGAAGATACAGACGTGGTTAAGGCAAGTGAAAGTGTCACTAGGGCAGCGTTTGAGTCCAACGGAGACGCTCTGCATAAGAACGAAGATAATGGTATTCTAGCTTCTGGGAACCAGCATGAAAAGCATGAAAACCACTCTGCTGATCTTTCTGAAGTCCAAAAGGATGAGGTTATGGAGCTGGAGGAAAACTCACGTGAAGCTGATGATAGTCGTGATATTGACCACGAAGAAAATAGTGGAATTGCAGCTGCAGAAACTTCCAAACTTGGCTCTAACTTGCAGACCGCCTTTGAAGATAGCACACCGAAACCGGAGATAGCAGAAACTCCAAGATCTTCTCAGCCGCAGCTTGTTGATTCCAGTTCTGAAGTCTCAACTAACATTGTTGAGAATGTTGCCAAGGTACAAGAACCTGTTACTCACGGTACAACACCTAAATTAGAACAGGAAATTAAACCTGTGACAGCTATCTCCTCAGCTGCTAACTCCACAACTCCTCCACCTGCTGGACTTGGGAATACGGCCCCACTTCTGGATCACGGTTCTCAAAATAAAGACCGTTGGTCCCGGACTGTGGCTGATAATATTCCATCAACCAATATTACATCTGCAACTCCTGCTCGACCAGCTGGCCTTGGGCGGGCTGCCCCGCTGTTGGAGCCCACCTCTCGGGCTGTCCAGCAGCCTCGAGTGAACGGAGCTGTTTCTGCAGCACAGAACCAGCTCATTGAAGACCCTACAAATGGGGAGAGTGAGGAGTACGACGAAACCCGTGAAAAGCTTCAGATGATTCGTGTCAAATTTCTGCGCCTTGCTCATAGGCTTGGTCAGACTCCACACAATGTTGTTGTCGCTCAAGTCTTGTATAGATTGGGGCTGGCCGAACAGCTACACGGCAGAAGTGGCGGACGTGTTGCTGGATTTAGCTTTGATCGTGCCAGTGCAATGGCTGAGCAGCTTGAGGCAGCTGGACAAGACCCTCTAGACTTCACATGCACAATCATGGTTCTTGGCAAATCAGGTGTCGGCAAAAGTGCAACCATAAATTCCATATTCGACGAAGTCATGTTCGGTACAGATGCTTTTCAGTTGGGAACCAAGAAGGTTCAGGATATTGTTGGGACTGTGCAAGGAATCAGGGTACGGGTGATCGACACTCCTGGACTTTTCCCCTCTTGGTCAGACCAGCGCCAGAACGAGAAAATCCTTCATTCTGTCAAAAGGTTTATCAAGAAAACACCTCCAGATATTGTTCTGTATCTTGACAGATTGGACATGCAGAGCAGAGATATGGGTGATATGCCTTTATTACGGACAATCACCGATATCTTTGGACAGTCTATTTGGTTCAACGCCATTGTTGTTCTGACACATGCTGCATCTGCTCCGCCCGAAGGTCCGAATGGCACTACAACAAGTTACGACATGTTTGTTACACAGAGATCGCATGTTGTCCAGCAAGCAATTCGTCAGGCCGCTGGAGATATGAGGCTGATGAATCCTGTTTCTTTGGTGGAGAACCACTCAGCTTGCAGGACAAACAGGGCTGGGCAGAGGGTTTTGCCGAACGGTCAGGTTTGGAAGCCTCATTTGTTGCTTCTCTCTTTTGCTTCGAAAATTCTGGCCGAAGCGAATACTCTGCTAAAGTTGGCCGATAGTCCTCCTGGAAGACCTTTTGCTCCTCGAACAAGATCGCCGCCTTTACCTTCCCTTCTTCCGTCTCTTCTCCAATCGAGACCTGAAGTTAAACTTCCGTCGGAGCAATTTGGCGATGACGATGATGCTGTAGATGATGATCTGGACGAGTGCTCGGATTCGGAAGGAGAATCGGAATACGATGCGTTACCTCCCTTCAGATCGTTGACTAAAGCCCAGCTAGAAAATCTTAGTAAACAGCAAAAGAAGGCATACTATGATGAACTAGAATACAGAGAAAAACTCTTCATGAAGAAGCAGCTGAAGGAAGAGAGGAAGCGACGGAAAATGATGAAAAAAATGCAGGAAGCAGCTATAGGTTTGCCTGCTGATTATGGTGACAACGGTGAAGAAGAGGCCAGTGCTGCTGCATCTGTACCAGTTCCTATGCCGGACTTGGCCCTACCCGCTTCTTTTGATTCGGATAATCCGACCCATCGATATCGGTCTCTGGATTCCTCCAACCCTTGGCTTGTGAGGGCTGTTTTGGAACCCAATGGGTGGGACCATGACATTGGATACGATGGCATAAACGTCGAGCGATTGTTTGTGCTTGATTCGAATGTACCAGTATCTTTCTCTGGCCACATTTCGAAGGACAAAAAAGATGCCAGTCTTCAAATGGAAATGGCGACCTCTGTGAAGCATGGGAAAGGGAAAGCAACCACTTTAGGCTTTGATATGCAACCGTTTGGAAAGGACTATGCTTACACTCTACGAAGCGATACTAGATTTATCAGTAACCGAGTGAACAAGGCAGCTGCTGGTCTTTCGACTACTGTTTTAGGGGATATTTTAACCGGTGGAGTAAAACTAGAGGACAAATTAACCATTGGTAAAAGGGGGCAGTTACTGGTTTCGGGTGGTGCTATTTATGGTCGAGGAGAGGTTGCTTATGGTGGCAGTTTGGAAGCAACTTTGAGAGACAAAGAACATCCTTTAGGACGCTTTCTATCAACACTGGGGATTTCTGTAATGGATTGGCATGGTGATCTTGCTGTTGGGTGCAATTCCCAGACACAGATTCCTATTGGACGGCATACGAATTTGATTGGTCGTTTTAATCTTAATAACAGGGGATCTGGACAACTTAGCCTTAAAGTGAACAGTTCGGAGCAGCTGCAAATAGTGTTGATTGGCTTAATTCCGTTAGTTCAGAAAGTACTTGGTTATTCTCAGCAGGTGCAGTATGGTTGATGATGATGATGATGATGATGATGATGATAGAAGGATGTTGCATGATGTGGCAGCCAATCGGGATATCCCGAATTGCTTCTTTCGTGTGCGTCGTTTGCTCGATCGGTTACTGATATAGGTATTTTCTAGCTTTTGTTTGAGCGATTGTTATTCTTTTTTATTATTTTTTTGTTGCTAGTGCTATAATTTGTTTAACTTGTCTCTCTCTTTCGTAAGTGTTCTCTGCATAAGACTCGATTCTATTACTGGTATCATCATGTGTGAGAGTGATGTTGCTTCATGACTCTTTCACCCTGCTGGACTGTTAAAACCTGCGAAATACACTATGCTAATATACATATATATATATTTATATATATATATGTATACGTGTGTGTTGTGTGTGAAAATACATGTATAATGCTTCCTTTTTATGTATGCATATTATTGTTGTTTTATTACATACATTGTTTTTCGACATGTCTAAGTGATAACTGAATTTTTCGTTTCTGTCTTCAACTTATTGATTAATTATGGTTATGTTTTTCCTTGTTGTGTGTCTACTTCGTGTAGGTAATAAATAGAAAGGATAATGGGAGTTTTGAAGGATATTTTGCATTTTGCGTGTTCAGATTGGGAGACGTTGCATTATTTGGCTACTTTCAAGAACTTCATCTAAATTTAATTTTCATTCTCTGATTTTAAGAATGTAATATTTTTAAATTTGCTATTGCTCGGAATTTTGTAGAATGTAGTACCATTTTCAATCTGTGAGAGTTTTGGCATAATGTGAATATCTTGTCATCAATATGGCTTGGCTTGGTTTGCTCGTGAAATTACAGGCTTCTGTTATCTGGTCGTGTTTGTGTGTGTGTATATATATATATCGATTTATAGTAGTTATGCATGTAGCTTGGTTTTGCTAGTTGCTTGAGCAAGAAGTGCTACTTTTAGAACATGATGCGTAGCTTTGTGCTTCATCGATTGCTAGTTATACTTCTTCGATTTTGATAGTTATGAGTTTGAGTCATTTGAACCGAGTTTAGAATCCATCAATTCGTTTTAAATCGTTAAATTTATTTATATAAACAATATCCGATCCATGTTCTTGAAATTGGATCGGATTTGGACCCAAATGATGAATGGATCTATCATGCCGACTAGGAACAAAGGCTTTCGTCGATTGCAGATTGATTTTCTGTTGATGGATGATGAAAAACCGAAACATACGAAGAATTTATTAGATGCTACCATACACGCGAATTGCTAACCCATATAATATTTTTGGCAAAAAACCTCTATGATTTATCTTTTTTAGCAATTAATAGTTAATACTCATGTTTATGGAGTTGTGTGCTAAATAAAAATCAAATCTTAGGTAATTTTTTTACCAATAAAATAACGTAAGATATAACACATCGGTACTAATTGCAATAAATCGAGACCAACAAACTAGTAATGCAACACCTCAACATTGTACTCGACAATAGCATTGCCTGAAGTAGCATTATAAGTCAAAGTCTTCAAAACAGCCGACCCACGAGCCAATCGAAAAACCCCCGACCCGCCCACAACCGCCAGCTCACGGTACTCATGCAAGAAAGGATTTGCTCCCACAATAGTAAGCGTGCTCCCGTTGTACTTCTCATTGGTGAACACAATATTAAACGACATGTGATAGCTAGTCTCTTCCAACGAGGTGGATGCTAATAGCCCCTGAGCCCGGCCCACTTTCTCCGAATCCGGGTCGGGCCCCGCGGTTAACGGGTCGTCTATCGCTGCAACCAGCCCGAAGAACGTGGGCGATTTTGCGGTGGAATTTGATATGACGATCGGAACGTTTGTCGGAGTTGGACCGCTAACAATGTCGTGAAGGTAGAAATGGAGATTCGTTACCTTCGGGTCGTGGCGGAGGTTTTTTTCGAACCATTTCTGAATTGATTTCGGATCTTTTTCCATGCAATTAATTGCGTTGTTGCCATGGATTATCTGCAAATTAATCACTACAATAGAAAAAAAGATTAGGGTTGTGTATACCATCTTTTCCATCTCTCTCTCTCTCTCTCTCTCTCTCTCTCTCTCTCTCTCTCTCTCTCTATAATTAGGGTTATATATATAGAGAGAGAGAGATGTGAATTAGCATCCACGTATATGTAACAGACGTATGGGGGAGTTCTTGAGTTTGGACAAAATGTATTGATGAAAAAAGATTAATCAAATGCGTGAAAAAAGAGCAACTACGTAATATATGGGGTATTAAATGTATTATAATTAATTAATTAATTAATTATTTGATCCCATACTTAATATATTTGACTGCTTTTCTTGGTAGGTCTGTAGGAATGAAGACCCATACTTTTGGCTTGATTAATTATTGGCCGTTGGATTGTCCAAGATTTTGTGTGCATGCATTGAAACTTACTAATTTTCTATATATTTGAGGTATTTCGAATTCTTACTATATTTCAGGGATTGACTATTTAGTATTATTATCAAAGATATAATTAATACCATCGAAGGAGGATTTACTATAATTTTGACTGCAATAAATCATAATTATTATTCTTTAAATAATTATTTACAAGGTAAGTTTTTAAAATTTGTAAATATTTGAAAATTTTTATAGATTAGGAATTTACTATTATCTATTTGGAAATATCTTCTAACGATTTGCTATGATTAACAATTTAACAAGGTAGTCATTTGATAATTACCTTTTTTTTTTTTTGATGGGATGATAAATACCTATTGATAATTACAGTATATCAATTACATTATTGTAGATGCTGCACTCGCCGAAATACTTTCGATGATTTAGATCAATTGATTTACACATATTAACACACACATGAGTGTGTGTGGGTACTTAGTGAATAGTTATTTATATAAATTTACGGTTCAAAACTATCCGATATGTTACACCATATGTAGCATCTCATACACCGAGAATTATGTGAGAATTACCTTGCACGTAGGGTGATAAACTCAGGAACCAACAACCATCATCCTTAAAGAAAAGAAGAAGAAAAAAATGGTAAAAAGAAGCTTACATATCATAATGAACTCACTTATGTTTGGATAAACATGTATTTGTAAATCAAATTAGAAATGTTTACAATGAAGATGGTGAATTTGAAACCAAGGCAAAATATTCAAGGTAATTTGACATGCATAATAACTTTTATCAATATAGAGTAAAAAATGTTATTCAATACGTCAATAATGTATATGTGAAAGTCATTTAAATCACGTAAATAAGAGATATATCAATTAAATTGTTGGCACTTGGCAACTTCAAACGTGTACTTCTCATATGTTATTATGATTTAGTAACGTATCCATTTGTTTTTTTTTTTTGAGAAAGAAAGAAACTTATTATTAGGCAATAGCCACAACTTTTGGAGGAAGATCAATTCCAGAAATACAATGATTATGCAAAAACTTAGCCAAAGCATAAGCTAACCTATTACCACACCGTTTAATAAAAACAAATGAGCATGATTCTAAAGAGTTGGCAATTTGGAGGCAGTCCTCCATCAACGCACCAAATGATGAACAGTCACAATTTTTATTCCGAAGCGCTTGAATAACTTGGAGACAATCCCCTTCCACTATGATCGAAGTCCATCCAAAATCCTTTGCCATCTTGACAGCTGCTAGAGCCGCCATAGCTTCACATTCCACAGCCAAGAGTGAACCATCAATCGTGTCAACCCGCCATCCTATACTTTTCCCGTCGGTGTTTCGCGCAACAATGGCCACAGAATAGCAGTTTTTCCCCCTATGTAAGGCAGCGTCAAAATTAATCTTCACCACCCCAACGGGAGGTGTGCGCCACACACTAGGTAATGGAAGGCTCAGCTGTGTGTTTGATGGCAGTTGTGCAAGCTTGAAGGCATCAAGGTATGCGCGAGACCATTGTACAACCTCGTCCATTATCGCAACCCCTTTTTCGCCCTTAAATTCCTTATTTCGAATATCCCACGCTTTCCATGCTATAATAATCGCAAGGTGAAACTCGTCCGCACTCAAGGACTGGTGCAACTTTTCCATCCAATTCCATACAGAAGCGAAATCTGTAGGCGTGAGTTTATCAAAAGGAGATGACCTCCAAACTATATCTATACCCCTACATTTAAAAATGACATGTAGGGGATCCTCCACCTCCATTTGGCAATGATCACATATCGGGGAGGGAGTAATTTTCCGGCGAAACAATTCCGCTTTGGTTGGTAAAATGTTCGAGCACAACCGCCAAGTGAAAATGCGGATTTTTGGTGGAATCGGCAGACGCCACAACATTTTCCAGTTCAAATTCGTTGTCCCGCTATACGAAAAATGGTTTCGTGAACTGGACCATTCTGAGAGAACGTGATAGTAACACGATCGCACCGTAAACTTGCTATTTTTGGAGAAATGCTAAGTCCATCGATCCTTAGCGAAAGAAGAGCCAACCGGGATAGACCGGATTCGATCTACATCGACTGGCCAGAAGATCCCCCTAATAAGATTCAAGTCCCAAGTTCTAGTGATGGGATTAATGATATCGGAAACTCGGTTCGGAAAACCCGAATCAGGTGGTCGCTTTGTAATAATACGAAATTTACCATCTTTTAGCCACGGATCTGCCCAAAGAGCCGTATCTTCCCCATTTCCAATCCTTCTTCTTAGACCCGCTCTAAGATGAGGTAGAACGCTCCAAATACTCCTCCAGGTAGCCGATGGCCGGTTACTCACTCCTGCCGAGAAGAGGTGACCGTGCGGATAATATTTGGCTTGAAGAAGTCGAGAGAGGAGAAGATTAGGGCATGATAAGAGGCGCCAAGCTTGCTTAGTCACTAAAGCAATATTTAAAGACTCCATATCCCTAAAGCCCATACCACCCACGTTCTTCGGTTTGCACATCTCTCTCCAAGATTTCCATGCCATACTCTTAGTGTTGCCATTGCTCCACCAAAATCTCTTAATAGTCGATTCTATCTCCTTGAGCAAGCCCAACGGAAGTAAGAAGCAACTCATAATATAAGAAGGGATAGCTTGAAGAACCGCCTTGATAAGCACTTCCTTGCCAGCTTTAGATAGAAACTTCTCTCCCCAACCTTTGATTCTCGTCCTAACACGCTCTCGGAGATAAGAGAAAACCTCCTTTCGAGTTTTTCCCATTGAGGCAGGCATCCCCAAATATCTTTCGTGCCGATCAACAATTTTAAAACCCAAGATGTTATAAATGGCATCTCGTCGAGATTGATGGGTCGAGGGGCTGAACATCACCGTGGATTTGTCTAGATTAATCTCTTGGCCCAACACTCTAGCATATTGATTAAGGATATTCTTCAGATTTTGTGCATAACCCTCGGTTGCATGGTTGAAAATGAGAGTGTCGTCTGCAAAACATAAATTTGATACCACGGGTGCTGACGGAGCCACCTTCACTCCCTGCAAGTCTCCTCTATCCACCGCATTACTGATCATTGCAATTAGAGCTTCCGTACAACAGATGAAGAGGTAAGGGGAGAGAGGGTCACCTTGCCGAAGACCTCTCGAGGGGTGCAATGATCCAATCTGTGAGCTATTAAATAGAAACGAATAAGAGACAGAGAAACACATAGCATAATCAGCTCAACAAAATCAGCGGGGATTCCAAATTTAGTGAGGATCTTGCGTAGGAAAATCCATTCAATTCGATCGTATGCCTTACTGATATCAAGTTTAATAGCCATATAATTTGTTTTCCGATTAAAGCTAAGTTTGATGAAATGGTTTATCTCAAAGGTCACAAGAACATTATCAGTGATTAGTCTCTTGGGTACGAAGGCAGATTGGGTAGGGGAGATAAGATCATTAAGGACACTTTTGAGTCTATTAGCAATAACTTTGCTCCCGAATTTATAAATGACATTGCAAAGACTAATAGGTCTATAGTCAGACATTTTTTCTGGTTTTTTTACCTTCGGAATAAGAACAATAAAGGTAAAATTCAATTTCGGTGGAAGTTTATGATTATTCAAGAATTCTAAAACACATGACAAGACATCAGACCCCAAAATATGCCAATATTTAGTGTAAAAAATAACGGGGAGGCCATCTATACCGGGGGATATGTGTGGAGCCATATGTGTATAGATATATATATATATATATATATATATATATATATATATATATATATATATATATATATATATATATATATATATATATATATATATATATATATATATGCTTCTTCTTCTCGTTTACCCTAAACCTGCTTCAGCGAGAGAGAGGGTAACATACAAATAAGAGTCTTCCTTCTTCGTTTTCGATCTCCATTCTGCCGTGAAGGGAAAAAAATTGAGGGATTTCGTGTGTGTTTGAGAGAGTGAAAGGATAAGATAGTCGAACAATTACAAGCATTGCAATTTTAAAAATATTAATTAATACTTACAATTAGTAATTGAATTTTCTTGTTCAACAACTTTTAAAGTTAATATTGTAAAAAAATCATTAAGGTTAAATACCAAACGAACTTATGCGTACATTCAACATTTAGTATTCAGATTTCAGACATGACTCTTAATAAATCAGATCTATATTCAACATTCAGTACTTAATTCTATTAAACACGGTGCGCGAGTGTCATTCATTACGTGCGTTTGACACTTCTAGAAGTTGCCAGCATTTGAATTTCTTAACGCAAATTGAATTATTATTGGTGACTGAGCCTTTGCTGAACAATAACAACTTCATGTATTGTAGTTACTATTATTTGTTCTCTCTATATTTCCCTATTTATATTTAGGTTATGTTTGGTTGTCAGGATAATCCAAGATTAGTTAAATAGTTGGACTTAGTTTGATGTTTAAGTACCTCAATTAATTACCGAGTCGACCCGCCAGAATTACGTAATCATGGCTCATCTTGCCTTATCTCGCCTTCTAGTGTGTTTTTTTTTATTAGAATGTCGCGAGCTCCAATAAAATAATTGAGTTCATTAAGACTATTTCATCTTATCTTAACTAATCTTATATTGCCAACCAAACAGTGTCTTAGTATATAGTATGTAATCCTTAATCCCTTTTTCCATAGGTTATGTTCTGTAATAGTTTATTCGGTTTGATGTTGTAAGAACTAACTAAGAACCTACACTAAATTCAACCGAGTACCCAACAACAAGTCATTACCAAAACTGCTATGATATTGTCTGCTGCAATAAAATTAAATTAGTGGAAGGAAAAAAACAAACATAAAAAGAAAATAATAGAAACAAAATCCTATCAGCTTAAAAGCTCTTTCATTCAATTGCTTTCTCTCCACACTGTCAAAAGCTTTGATTTAGCTCAGAGCATCACATCTGCACTCTTCAGCATTTCTTCTCAGCAGATCCATTTTCAGTTTCACCAACACTACAAATACAATATCAACTAATATATATTATTAATAATACTCGGTTACGACAACGAAGCACGAAAACACCTAGAGAAAAAACACTACCCACACACGCAAATACAAAGAGTTCATAGCCGTTTATAGGTAAACAGTCGTATTATCACACAAATGCGTAAATCGGTGTTGCACGAAATCCCGAAACTATCGACAAACAAATCTAATGCATGTGCCATCGAGTCTATCAATTTTACGTACTCGTGGCTAGGGCTATGTGCATTTTTACCACATGAATGATTATATAAATATCTTTCGTTTCTCTCCAAGAAACATTCAACAGGCAACATCCTATAACAAGTACTCAACATGTCTACTATAGAGCTCATAAAACCCGAGATATTTCACAATTTCTCAAAAACCATAAATCAAAATCGAAAAAGCATCCAACAAAACCATTTCAAGTCAACGTTCTTGATAACTCAAGATATAGTTTCATGATTCATTATCTAAGTCATCACCAACCTCTGAGAATGAGAGTCGGCTTTTCGATCGACGGGATCCGCAGAAACGACGTCGTTAATCTTAACGGAGTCGAGCTTCTCCTCAATCTCCTTCA